TTTGGAAAGGATGCTTTCAGACAAACGGTACAAACATAAGATGGTCCAGACTTTTTTTTTTTTTTTTTTTTTTTTTTTTTTTTTTTTTTTTTTACAGTGTCCTGTCTGGCAAGGTGGCAATAAGAATAATTGTCTTGATGCCAAAAGGAGCCCAACAGATTTTACTTTCACAAGTGTAGCGGTATCGCAATTGCCATAAGATGGTCCAAACTTAATGTTCTCCCTGAAAAGAGAAATGGCCTCATTTATTAAACTGTTATCTGGCTGGTTTTGTAAGTTTTCAGCAGGTCGGTGCATACAACGGTACTTTCTTTTGATGATCATTCCACATCTGATATTGTGCAACCGTTTAAAAGAACAACTTTTCCAATATCTTTTTCTCATTCTTTCTCTCATATCATTCTTGTGTTGTTGTTGAAACTGTTTTTCTCCATAACGTTTAGAAATATATGACCTCATGTAAGCTTGATGTTTTTCTCTGAATGAAGGACTCATTTTGTAACTATTTCTGACATAATCTTGTTGTCTCTGTCTAAACACTGGAGATTCTCTGTACAGTCGTTTAATCCGTTCTTTCTGCCTCAGCCTAAATACTGGAGATTCTCTGTAGAGTTGTTTAATCCGTTCTTTCTGCCTCAGCCTAAATACTGGAGATTCTCTGTAGAGTTGTTTAATCCGTTCTTTCTGCCTCAGCCTAAATTCTGGAGATTCTCTGTAGAGTTTTTTAATATTCTGCGTCTTCTTGTGTCGGAGTTTAGCAGATTTCCTGTATCTGGTATTGACACGTGTTTTTTGCATTTGCCTATACAAAGGATCATCTTTATACAGTTTTCTGATATATTCTCGTTTATTCTCTCTAACTTCAGCTCTTTCTTTGTAGTTCTTCCTCATTTGCTCTTTCTGCTTTTCTTTGTATGTAATATTGTCTTTATAAAGGTTTATTTTGTACTGTCTCTTTTTCTCTCTCTGATCAGCATCGTCCAGCTGATTTTCTTTCTGTTTTTCCATTCTCTGTGGTAGTTTTTTTGCACCCAAGAGTCTTCTCTTCAATTTTAGCCTTTCCTTCTTACTACGTTTTAACAGTTTATTTGAGAGTTCCTGAATTGAAGACCCGTCAAGGTTTAAATCATTCTGAGATACACAGTCTGATGTAACTTGGTTTTTTCTCACTGAGAATGAAAATGTTTGGCTTTCTAGATCAGCCAGACAGTCGCTCTTTTCTGCAGCAGGTGTCTCATTTGGAGGATCCACAATGGATGTTCTGACCTCAGCTGTTGAATTTTCATTTCCAATGTCTTGTTTGTGATCAGTAGATATATACACAGGTATATCAAATATCGGTGCTTCAACCTGTATGGCAGTTTTTATGTGCTGCGTAGTTTGTGTTGCGCTCACTTGCATGGCTTCAGTTTCATGGTGAAATGTGATAGGATAGAGATCATACTGGCACTCTGGGTCAATGCTAAACATTGTGTAGACAAGTTTGATCCTTTCAATCATGTCATGAAGATAAGTGAATTTCAGCATAACAGCTTTTCCACCACTTTCACCAGGAGGTAATGGCAGTCCTGTAGACTCACGGGCATGAGGATCAAAATACACATATTCATCAGAATTCAGCCTGCAGACTGCGATAGCTGTTGATGCCATAACTAGCAACCCGTACTGGACCTCTGATGTCAAACATTGTAAACCTTGTTCAAGGCTCTGAGCGTATTGATTTCCCTCAAATAATCCAAAATGAGCAGGGTGAGACTTGTCCACCTGATACCGATGAGTACGGCTCTGAACCACAGCAGGGAGCTCTTCAAAGGATAGAAACACACCCTTAGGATTGCGCCGTCTAGCCCGTTTATACACAACATGACCTTTATCCAACACACGATCAAGGTCTTCCCTGGTAATAAATTCATTTTCATGGACAAATGATAAGAAAACCAAACTATTAGCCATACATTGTGTATTCCTGTATTTACCATACTTAGAAGAAGCCTGACTTCTGGATGCACAGACGCTTCTCACTGTTGGCTGAACTACAAAAGCTGGTTCATTAGATGGTCCTTGAAATTCACCATGGTGCCGCAGATGCTCACTTTCAACTATGATTGACTGGGGTTCACTGGACCGTTTATGAAGTTGTCTGTTTTCTGCCAGACTATGGTTTATCTCTGCGACATGTGTGTCGTTTGGAGAATCCACAATGGATGTCGTTGCCTCAGTTCTCAGTGTTTCATTTTTGTTTTGTGTTTTCTCTGCAGTTATACACAAAGATGTATCTAATGTTGATGTTTCAACACCTGTAGCATTTTGGGTGTTTTCTGTTTTCTTTGTTGGTTTCACTTGGGGGGCTGCAGTTTCACTATGAAATGTGATAGGCTGTATCTCAAAAACACAGTTTGACTCAATGCCAAAGTTCCTGTACACAGATTTAATCCGTTCAATCATGTCATCAAGACGTTTGAATTTCAGCATGACTGCTTTTCCACCTCTTCCACCAGGAAGCAATGACATGCCTGTAGACCTACGAGGGTGAGGATCAAAATATGCAAATTCACCAGAACTCAGCCTGCAAACTGCAATCCCTAATAATGCAGTGACTAGCAAAGCATACTGGACCTCTGATGCCAAGATCTGCAGTCCCTGTTCAAGGCTTTGTAGTTTATCTCTGGGGTTACCGTCAAATGTACCATAAGTAGCATACCGGGACATGTCAACTCTGTACTGATGATTGCGGCTTCTAACCACAGAATGAAGCTGACTGCAGGATAGGAATTCATTATTCGGCTCAATGCGTCTAATTGCTGAGTACATGGCGTGACCCATGTCCAACACACGGTTAAGGTCATCTCGAGTAATGAACTCATCTTCATGGACAAATGATAGGAAAACCAAACTATTAGCCATACATTGCCTATTCCTGTATTTACCATACTTAGTAGAAGCCTGACTTCTGGACGCACAGATTCTTGTCACTGGTGGCTGGACTTCATGTGGAATGGCTGGTTCACAAGATGGTCCTGGAGCTTCTCCATGATGCTGCCTATGCTCACAGTCAACTACAGTAACCACAGGTTCACTCTGCATCACCTGCTGTATGTTGAAGTCACCGACAGTCGTTTGTTGGCACATTTTTTCCTCAGAAGACATCAGATCTGTGCAGTGATCAGGAGAATGGATTTGCGGACTTGGAGCTGTTGAAATTGACACATCAACTTTCTCACCACTCTGGGAAACACATGGATGCTCTTTCTCCTGCTGTCTCCTTAGCTTCTGAGACTGGGAACGCTGGTTTTTTCTAGGCATCGTTACAGATCAAGAGATATGTAAACAAAATAACCAAAATTTTATCTAGTAACTCTTTAAACTTTTAGGCACCAGGCAGCTTTATCAATTAGATGACTGTTCTTCTCCTGGATTCCTCCAATGAAAGTACTGCAACAGCAAAGAAACAGCAACTCTCAGGTCTTCAAAGCTCTGCCCTCTCAGATATGTTGCAGTGTAAATCAGCAAGGCAGCAGGTAGCGTCTGGTTGAAGGATTACACTTGTTAATTCACCAAAGCAGCAAACAGAGGCCAGGTCTTTTTAAGATGTTTTTATTCTTGCACATACATAAACTTCTTACAAAAAAAAATCTTAAAATATATCTGGATCAAAACCTTTATTGACCAAATATTTTTTATGTGTGGGTCAAATTAACTTAAACTCTCAATAGAGATCCAAAAATGGTTTAATATGAAAATGTGTTAATATATGTATTTATAAGTATGTGTAGGTATTTAAACTAAGAATTTCTGTACTGAATATGACCAAATATTTTTTATGTGTGGGTCAAATTCACTTAATAAAATATATCTGGATCCAAACCTTTATTACAAACCGTATATTCACCTCGAAACCAGCAGGAGGATGAGAGATGGGTAACAGTTCCTTTCAAGTGTAATTCAGTATGTATCTATATTGATGTATTTATAAATATGTGTAGGTATTTAAACTAAGAATTTCTGTACTGAATATAAGCAAATATTTTTATGTGTGGGTCAAATTAACTTAAACTCTCAATAGAGATCAAAAAATGCTTTGATATGAAAAATGTGTTAATATATGTATTTATAAGTATGTGTAGGTATTTAAACTAAGAATTTCTGTACTGAATATAAGCAAATATTTTTATGTGTGGGTCAAATTAACTTAAACTCTCAATAGAGATCCAAAAATGGTTTAATATGAAAATGTGTTGATGTATTTCTTGAACTTAATGCAAATAACTAGTGCAAGAGTGTGGATAGGACAGAGAGAGCGGTGAGAGTGAAGAAACTCTCAGGTCTGGTAAATGTAGTCAGATAAGGCACTCAAAGACCTTGTTGCAGAAAACTTTTTCATGTAAAATGTTGTTCTGGAAAAAACTTTGTCTGGTAAAATGTTGTTCTGGAAAAAACTTTGTCTGGTAAAATGTTCTGGGAAAAGTTTTTCTGGTAAAATTTTCTGGAAAAAGTTTGTCCATAAAACAGATAGAGTGGTATAGAGTAGATGGGATAGAGTGGTAGAATATCCAATAATTAGATAGAATGGGTAGATGGGATAGGAGAGCTAGAAAGTCCCAAAATATAGTGAGAGAGGTAGAGAGACAGCCGGGCACCTGTAAGACAAAAGGAAATCAATTAAATGCTGTTCAAATAAAACTAAAGCAGTTTCTGCAAAAAAAAAAAGTAGGCTATTAAATCAATGTTCTAATTTCATAGAAATGTGAAGACTATTGGACAGTAACTTTAGTTAGATTTCAAAATCAGCCAAACTCGATTAAAACAATTCTCCTGGTAATATCTAGATGAGGGGTGGGCAACAAAAATTCCACGAATGCGGTATCTGGCAACTTTTGGAGCCATCCTTGGTTCACACACCTGAATAAAATGACTGAGTTACCTCCTCAGTATGCAATCAGTTCCTCCAGATTTCTCTCAAGCATTTCATAACTTTATTCACGTGTGTTGAACCAAAGCACATCTAAAAGTGGCAGGATAATGTCCCTCAGGAACTGGAATTGCCCACCCCTGATCTAGATGATATATAAATACATTGGGTTTATTATGATTGCACTAACACCATACATTTTTCAGAGGATGTTCAGTTTTTAACAACTGTCCTGAATAACTCTTGTGTGAGCTAATTTAATAGAGAAACAGTGGAGGCTGAGAACGTGGATTAAGACTTATTTGGAAAGAAATCAATGCGACATCCAAATGGATGATAAAAAATAGTGTGTGCTGTTATCAAAGATAAGACTAGTCCAACCAAACTAATACTGACCAGGCATGATCTATATAAAAATGTTACTGTCAGGAGTTTTATGATGATGGCTCCTAATATTCACAGAATAAAATACTAGTAATCATTCACATTCAGCATTCCATTATTTGTTCAGGACCTAGTTTTAACACCAGGGAGATCATCTCCAAAAAAAGATCAGATATAAAATGAAGGAACCTAGAGTGCAGAGCAAATAGAGGAATTGTTTTTCTAATAGTTGCAGAACAGCAAGGAAAGGGACACATATCAGATGATGATGATGTTCCAGATAAGGCTGTCATATGGCCTGGGAGAAGAGCCTAACATTATGCAGTTCATGTCATCTAGAGCTCCCAGAGCTCTGATGTTCTAACATCCTAAATGCTCTCTGGGATGTCTTGGAGGAAAAACCAAGGCTAATGAACTTACAATCAAGGATTTAGCATTAACTAAAACTAACATAATGACAAAAACTAGAGTTAAAGCACACTTTCATATAAAAACTAGACATTGCTAGAAAAAAACAAAAACAATTTTAATAAAAAACCTGAAACTATAAAAAGAGTTTCCAAAACAAATCAAAGCCAACAGGTTCAATAACTTTTTCACTTTTTTCTTTGCTGTTTTGCAGATGACAGGTTCAACAGTCAGGTCATTTATCTTCCTGCAGTGATCTGTCCTTATGTCGGATTTTATTTTTATTTATTAATTTATGTTTAGGTCTTTCCCCCAGGATGTAAGTTGTATTACATAACTGAAAATATAGCAGGCTGAAAGAAAATACAAATTAAACTCAATAAATTAGGTAAGAAAGAGTAAAAATTACTTAAAAGTGCAATAGAATAAAAAGATAGATGACAAATATACATTAAATAAGAACTAACATTTTAGATTGTTTACAATCCAATGAAGAGCTGTGTTTATTTTCTCCAGCTTATCTGAAACAACTACATTCTGAGTTTATTGAAAAACTTGATATGATCGATAGTGAGCTTCTAGTACCCAACAGTGTACTGATTAGGGCTGGGATATAGAAAAAAAGCTTATCAATAAAAAAAAATGCATCTTGATCAATATCGATAATTATTGAAAAGATTTGAAACCATATTTTATGTGAATCTCTGCCTGGACATTTTATGATATTGCTAAATGATTGAATTTTAATAAAGAACACAAACACAGACTTCCAATTAAATCTTTATTTAACCAACTTTTTAACCATAACAGAATTGTTTTAAAGAAAAATAACTTAAAAGACCTGAGTTATGTTATTAAATACTGACAAAAAATAAACTAAAGTGACCAGAAAAGTGACCAAAATAAATATAACAAATAAATAAATAGAATACCCTATTTGGGTGGGAATAGAACACCACCAGCTTGTGGTAATTAAAAGATTGTAGGACTCTAGGCTACCATGGAAACTCCACTCAACAAGAACAAAAACCCAAATCAACTCACCCTTTAGCCTAGCATTTCTATGGGCTATTTTTTCTCACCCCTATTCTTCTAGAGGTGCTGTTGGCACCTTGTTATGGTTCAGCTTAGTTTCCTGCTTTAACCTGAGTTATTACTTTGAAGTTTCTGGCCCCTCAGCATTTTCCTCTCAATTGTTAGAACTACGTGGAAAACTGCCCAGAATATATGAATATATATATATATATATATATATATATATATATATATATATATTATATATTCCCCCCCCCCCGAAATTCCCGAAGATTCCTCGGAGGAGAGGTGCGCCGGGGCCTACACAGCTCGTACTCCTGTGGGTGTGAGCGGCTGAGATGATAAAAAAAAAAAAGTTGGTTGTGTTATCAGACTTCGTTTTCACTGGTTCCCGACACATTTTCCAGATGACTGTGGTTTGTTTTTTGTCCGACTTGGCATGACCAAAATACTGCCAAACTGGCGAACTACAAAAACCCTTCTTTGGAACAATTTCCTCCGCCTCTACTTGCTGCGACATCTTCATGTGCTCTGTGTTATGGTGTGAGAGGGCGGCGCTTTGTGACGGCGTGCCTGGGTCCGCGATTGCGATTGGTTGGGAGGAAGCAGTGACTAGCATAAACCTACATGATAGGCTAAAATAAAGTTTTAAACACATTATCAACACAGAACTTCCATTTATGAAATACTTACTGTGTAAACAGCTGGCTGTCACCAAAAACAGCTACTGAAAAGCAGAAAAACAACAGTTTGTATGCAATGTTCAAAACAGATTAGATTGTAAAAGATGACAAATGTTATCATAATATATACCAGCCAAAGCAGCAGGGAGGGTTGATTCTCAATCTATGGAAAGAAAAAGAATTTAGAGGACACATTTATAATTCCCGCTTTGGACGGTATAAGGAGACAAATATATATATATGGAGAAAAATGTAATGCATGGAACTGTAACTTAAAAAAATTCTAAGAAATTGCTGCACTTTCAATATTTCACTTAGTTGTAGGCAGTTTAATTCACACTCAGTTGAAAAAGTCTGCAGCAGACAGCAGTATAAAGGACTTCCCTAATGAACAGTGTGAACCACTATAAGGCTCCATGCAGTAACGTCAAAACACTTTCTTCTACACAAATTAACTTTGCAATTGAATTTAGGTGAAAATGTGGTAGTGTGAAACAAAAAATATCTCCTTGGTTTATCCAAAAACAGGTTAATTGAGAAGTACTCATGTTTGTTCTTCCAGAGCTTTACTCAGATGTAAGCTGAGCAAGTCATCGAGCTCATCAGCTCTGGAGCAGACCGCCGCTGGGGGGCAGATTGTTTATAATATACTGCTGAAATTTCATTAGATGTTATATAAGGGTTATTGCCAGGATTATTTCAGTGTTCATTCATCACCAATAATAATGGCTCAACATCAACATGAAGCTACGTAACAGGGTACATTTAATGTTTGCTCTTCCATTCTAAAAGAGGAGCATCATGCCCAGCCTTTTTTTTATTTAAACCATAAAATGACAGAGAGATGGAACTCAAAGTGTCATCTTTTGTCAGCTACGAGCAGAAACAGGTTAAACTGCCCCCAATGTTGTTGTTTTTTTTGTGACTAATTTAATTTTAACTATGTTTTCTTAGAATTTTGCTTACATATCCTACCAATTAATTTGACATATTACTACATGTTCTTATAAATGGTGCTGTTATGGCTTAAGCTTTTAATAGTATAATACTGAAAATATGAACATGGTAATGGTGGACTAAAGTGGTCTAGGGGTTTCTCAACTTTTGAATGTTTACTTACCAGCCAAAGAGAAGTCGACAGTCAGGGGGCTTCTTTCAATCTGAGAGAGGAAACAGTCTGTTATTGACCCGAGTATGAAGGTTTAATCAACTAGAGCCACAGAACAAAAAACTAATACTTAATATTAGCTTTTTGTCTTTGAAAGTTACCTTAATATACTTACTAAAGCGTTGAAATACAGATGAACATTATTCAATAAGTAAGTCTAAACAGTCTAAAGGTCTAATTTTTCTATCAACCTGAACGCACCATCAAATGCATCTCCTTTTACAAAGCAGATAACAGCATTTTACCATTAATGGATAAAATATGTTTTCAAAGGCAAATCTGTTTAAAACTGGAAACGAGGTTCCATGCATGCTAGTAGCAACGGTTAAAATGACAGAAATGGTGATTGAAACTCCTCAGAAGGAGAAATTACACCTTTATCACATAAACGGCTTCATTTTGTGCTCCATATCAACATTTTTATTTATTTATTTTTTTTTTTTACAATAAATCAACTTTACAGTATGTGCACAAACCAGACATAACCTTTACATGAACTGGCAAACACTGCATGAAGAGGCCCACATCTGAACAGCTTGATCCCAGCATTAGATGAAATGGACTACAGCTGTTGCTGCTATAATCAATAAAGATGTTTAAAAATTAAATGGGAAAACCTGCACCCTCATTTAAATCATTTAAATAAAAAGCTTTTTTCTGTGTTGATTTAAGCTTGCATTTAAAAAGGAGGATTATGTTAAATGTCCTTTTAGACAGAAATAATTAAAAACAATACTTTTGTGAAGAACTGTAGTTGATATTCCTGCACAGAATGTGATCATTTGAGGAGCTGCTTCTTTTTAGTTTTTAATCTGTCCCTTTTTAATTTGAAGCCTTTGGGAATAATGCACAGCATGTGTTTGCTGTCAGATTAGAAATTATGACAGTGTTATATTGAGGATAGTAGCAGTTCAAATGATACAGTTAGCAAAAGTCCTCATTGGACAGCCAAACTTCATTGTCGTTCAGAAAATGTGTTATAGAGAAAAGGCCCTTTTCTATCCACCAATCGAAACGCACAAACTTATTTCTATGTAGCATATATCTATAGCCTAGTAAACTAGCCCCACCTGCCAGCGGCCAAAATCATTTTTGCCTGCGGGTGGTCCAGCCTTGATCAATGCCCCAGGCCCTAAATCTGGCGGGCCAATCACATCGCTCGGTGGTCAGAGCGTTGGCCAATAGGCACAGACATGGTTTGAAAAACAACAGGTTGTTCTCATCAACAATCTTCTGATGTCTTATTCATCGGGGCCACACTAAATAACACCTTTTATCTCCCCTAACGTCTGGTTTATCAGGCTAATATATCTATTATTCCAGATGGCAGTGTGGTGGGAAGTAACACTGTGCTTGCATACAAGTATCCCCAATAACACTTGTTTGTTAAAGGAAGCTAACTTTACGTTGAGAAACTCAATGTTAGCTTTAACTTTAGGAAGCCTTCCAATCACTTTTACTTTGAAAGCCTTCAAAAAACCTTCCAGTTCTAACATCGCAGGACACTTTACATTGCAGCTCTGCAGCCAGACTACTGTTTACGCACTAAACACAGCAACTATAGCAAAGCTGCTCTCTGGCATGGAACACAGGAGCAGCAGAAGCATCAGACGCATCTGGACACACTTTACTGGACGCACTTAAGAAGCATCAAAGATACATTTGAGGCACGTTGGACCTTAATGTGTACAAGCATCAAAAATGAAGCAGCATAAGCTTTTTTGCTGCTTTCAGCGCTTACAGTCTGGACATAGAACTGGTCTCCAAGTAAACTCTGCACTAAAAACAAATGTAAAGCAGTCACTTTAAATATGTTGATTTGGTCTTTCAGGAATCGAATCCACAAATATCTCCCAACCATATAGGGATGTTTGCACATGCCTCAGCTCCTTCAGTCTAATTTCTGTTTATTAAATGTTTGTCAGCATAAAAACTATCACACACACACTGATTTCTACCCATTTAAACTTCACATAAAACAGTTCATTTCTTTGCAAACATCAACATAGAAACATGGTTCACTGATGTGGTCTACAGTTGTTGAACTTCATGATAACTGTGCACATACCAGCCAAAGAACAGAACTCAGTTGATTTACGTCAATCTGACGGGAGACAGAACTCAGTAGTGCTTATCAGCTGTTTTTCTTTAAATAATCTACTTGCTGTTGGGTTTGAAAATACAGGCAGAATAATAATATTCCATAATTGGTATTATCAGTTGTGAAATTCCAGTTCTACACTGCAAAAAATATAAATCTTAATAAGTTATTTTTTCTTAAAATAAGTGTGTTTTTCCTTGATTTGAGGAGATAAGTAAGACACTTTGCCAATGGAACAAGACAATTTCCTTTTAAAATAAGAAAAAACTATTTTATCGTCTTATTTCAAGTAAATATTATCTAACTATCTTATTTTAAGAGTGAAAATACTCATTCCATTGGCAAATCATCTTATTTACCTGGTCAAATAAAGGCTAAATATACTTAATTTAAGCCATTTTTTACTTATTTCTGGATTGTTTTTGCAGTGTACTGTCTGACATTAACTCAACATCACATGCAGCTCCTATTACGAAGCAGATAAAAATGCTTTAACCAGTAATGATTCATACAAGCTTCCAGAGTGTAACTTCAGCTAATCATATTTATTATATTTAAAGTTTTTATGTATTTAAATATTTGTTATGTAATTTATTGATTGATTGCTATATTTCATAATGGAGTATTATTTTCTGTGGCTCAGAAAAGTCATTAAATATTTTCAAAATCTATTGTGAAGCATTCTTTGGTGATTTAAGGATAGAAACAAATATGAGATAAATATGTGTTTGCACATGCACAAATGGTATATATCGTGCATCCGGTACAGATTGGGTAGTGACAGGACCAAACACAGCTTAGGAGGTGGGAATAGTGTGATTGGAGTACTTCAGTTTCTGCAAATTCAGCCAATCCTAACCAGCACCACTTCACAGAGAAATCCCTACTCCTTAACTGAATATCAGAACATGAAATTAAAGGTTAAAATGAAATACTGAGCTAAAAAACCTAAGTGACTCAATACATAGAGTAGCTTTACAAAAAGTTTTTTATTGTAAGGTATTTGTTTTTTTATTTCATGAGATATTTCTTTGCTTAATAGAATATATATTGACAATTTATCAATAGCAATATTAATTTACATAATTTTGAATGAAATGGCTCTCCACACACATTGTGTGCCAAATGCACATACCCGATCATGTAGACCAGGCATCCCCAAACTCGGTCCTGAAGGGCCCCTGTCCTGCAGGTTTTAAAGGTTTCCCTGCTTTAGCACAGCTGATTATCATGAATGCAGTAGAGCAGAAGCCTGTTAATCAGCTTTCAATTAAAATCAGCTGTGCTGGAGCAACGAAACCTCTAAAACCTGCAGGACAGCGGCCCTCGAAGACCGAGTTTGGGGATGCCTGATGTAGACAGAGCAAGCCAGGCTATGGTTAAAAAAAATCAGCCTTTGCCTTTACTAAACCAGAGTGTACAAACGGTTTACTAACCGTTTCCAAATTTGGTTATTTAAATGTAGCACTTTTGCATCGATTAAACTATTCTTTAATATCTCACATATTTCGGCCCTAACGGTACGTTTTCCGACATTAATTAAAACTAGCCGTCCATCTTAGCATTTAAGCTAACGATAGCTAACGCTTAGCACCGGCTCGTCGAATTTATAAATAAAAATAAATGGGAACCGTTACCAATTTTGGTTATTTAAATGTAGCACTTTTGAATGAATTAAACTATTCTTTAATATCTCACATATTTTGGTAATATACATACTTTCATTGCGAACATAATTAGACACGACCTACCTGCTCGGTGAACGGACAAGCGATAAGCTATTTACCCACAAGGCACTGCGAACACAATGCGAGAGAGATTCAGGAACTGTCGGATATTTTGGCTTCGCCAACGAGTCCATATGTTTATTAAAATACTGAATACAAAAATATTACTTATTCTCAATTACTGCTTCCTATTTGTTCGTTTTTTATGTTCTTGTTCTTCTCCGGCGGACATAATTAGAAGCGACCTACCTGCTCAGTGAACGGACAGTGAAAAGCATTTTACCCACAAGGAACCGGGAACACAATTTTGAGAGACATTCAGGAACTGTCGGATATTTTGGCTTCGCCAACGAGTCAATATGTTTATTGAAAATACTGAATATTAAAATGTTATTACTTATTCTCAGTTATTGTTTCCCATTTGTTAATTTTTTTATGTTCTTGTTCTTTTCATGGAGGAGCAGCATTATAATGGGAATTTATTTTTGACAAAAAGATGAAGTATTTTTTGTAAATGCTAGTTGTTTTTGTTAAATTGCCAAAGTATTTCGTAATTCTGTATGTGTAATTGTGGTAATTACATCTTGCTAATAATTTTAAGATTTTACATAAAGACTGAATTACAAGTACATGTCTGATAACGCCATAGTATTATTTTTATTTGTAAATTCTGCATGCCTAATGCCATATACCAGGCATCCCCAAACTTGGTCCTCAAGGGCCGCTGTCCTGCAGGTTTTAGAGGTTTCCATGCATTAGCACAGCTGATTGTAATGATTGCAGTAGAGCAAAAGCCTGTTAATCAGCTTTCAATTAAAATCAGCTGTTCTTGAGCAAGGAAACCTCTAAAACCTGCAGGACAGCGGCCCTTGAGGACCAAGTTTGGGGATACCTGCCATATACCTGAATGCTGTGTCTGTGCATTAGCCTTTAAATCTGACAGATTTACAATACAGCTAATTTAATGAACCAATGTAATAACTCCACAGAGCTTCAGTTTCTACACTAGCCAAATCTCATAAATTGGTAAAATACCAGGCAACATCAAGCTCATATTTTGCTTGTTGCTCTTAGTTACAAGAATCTGATAATTTGAAAAAAAAAAAAACTATACATACAAGTATGTAGACACACACTGAAACTAATTACCTTGAAAACAAGTCCCCACAGGCAGCTGCTGCTGCTGCTTGTTTTTGCAGCCAAACTCTACACTAGTAGGCATTTTTACTGAGCATCTCTGTGGGAGTGGGGAGTACCAGCATAGTGGACGGTGGCTTCACTTTTTTCAGGCAAGCATCAATCCAGTGAAGAAATAAAGTAAATAGAGATCACTGATCTGTAGTTACTAGTTTTTCAGCTCTGTGCTGCCATAGGGCCAAATGTCTGCCTACATTAATGCAAGATCTGCTCCTGAAATCTGATGTGTTATACCTATCTGTAAATGCTTGCAACTTAAAAGTCCAATTTTCCACTTATGGTTAACACTTGGTATAAATTAAAACAATGAAAGTTATGCAAGAAGTCATTTAATTATCAGCGGTGACAGAATCCAATCATAGATAATCAGACATAGAAGCCAACAAAATCAGAGCTTTAAGTATTTGCAGTCACTGAATCTGATCACAGAATCAAAGTGCAGAAAGAGCAGAAGAAAGAAGCTGATGGAAATGATCAGAAGCTTAACTTCATATTGTTGAAGACACTGGAAGAAATGCAATAAATCTTTTTTTTTTTTTTTTTTAAATACCAACAGCTTATAGTACTTAAAACTGAAAAATTATTAATTCAATATAAATTCTTTTTTGTTTTAATGTTAAGTAACCTTGTTTCAGAACATATGTATTTGCCATATCAGTTTTCTTGTTTTTTTTGCATAAAACATGGCCACTAACCATAAATATGAAGATGGAAGAATGACCACAATTCTTATATAGTTTGTAGCAAAAACGTGGAACGAAATATTCTAATTACATGAAAGTAATTATAAAATGTTCTTTTAGAAAGAATTTAAAATCTTGCCTTTCCTTAATTACATTTTAAACACTCATTTCATTTCATCATTTATGGACCTGTCATATAAAACTGGGCCCTGGGTGAGGACACCTGTCTCCTGGCTGCTCTGCCTGCGATTAAACCTACAATCACAAATTGTCATCATTATGTTTTGCTGCAACATATTTGTTTCAGATTTTAGTGTGAAACCTATTGTATTTACCACTGGATAAGGGTCCTCTGGTTCAGGAGGAACCGCTGCAGACAGCTGGCCTCCATCAGGGAGTGGCAGTTTAGCACCAGTTCTCTGATGTGGAGGTAGTGGCTCAGCACTTTGGTCCACCGAGGAAGCCAGACAGACTGCAGCGAGCACAGGTTGATGCACATGTCCTCCACTAAGCAGCTGGTGCTGGACCACTGGGATAGACCCCTTGAATGACCAATCAGACACCTCTTCACACTGTCCACACCTGGGGACACTCCAGTGTTCCTGGGGGCCTTGAAGGGACCATGGGCCAGTTTGGTTATGTGTCTGGGCTGATACTGGATCCTCCTCTTGTCCCCATCAGGAAGAGCAGACCACAGGAACATGACCTCTGTGACCTGCTTCTGGTCCAGGTACAGAGTCTGAGGGAGGGACATCAAGTACACAGCCAAATCCTGCACCTTATTCCAGCCAGGGATGCTATCGGGTCAAAGAGCTACAGACTGCAAGAAATCATTAGAATACAAACACAGCATGTTAAAATCATTGTGTCAGATTACAGACATGAGGACTGTGGCGCCGCAGATAGTGAATAGACTACTTACAGGAGGCTGGTCTGCAGCAATGCAGCCATGTGATGTTGCAGCACCAGAGAATCCACTTGACTGTGCAGGAGGCAGTGGAGGCTCAGAGAACTGGATCAGAGGAGGTAGTCCTGGACTGGAGGTGGACAACTACAGCTGTTTGTAATGATTGCAGTAGAGCAAAAGCCTGTTAATCAGCTTTCAATTAAAATCAGCTGTTCTTGAGCAAGGAAACCTCTAAAACCTGCAGGACAGCGGCCCTTGAGGACCAAGTTTGGGGATACCTGCCATATACCTGAATGCTGTGTCTGTGCATTAGCCTTTAAATCTGACAGATTTACAATACAGCTAATTTAATGAACCAATGTAATAACTCCACAGAGCTTCAGTTTCTACACTAGCCAAATCTCATAAATTGGTAAAATACCAGGCAACATCAAGCTCATATTTTGCTTTTTGCTCTTAGTTACAAGAATCTGATAATTTGAAAAAAAAAAAACTATACATACAAGTATGTAGACACACACTGAAACTAATTACCTTGAAAACAAGTCCCCACAGGCAGCTGCTGCTGCTTGTTTTTGCAGCCAAACTCTACACTAGTAGGCATTTTTACTGAGCATCTCTGTGGGAGTGGGGAGTACCAGCATAGTGGACGGTGGCTTCACTTTTTTCAGGCAAGCATCAATCCAGTGAAGAAATAGAAATAAAGTAAATAGAGATCACTGATCTGTAGTTACTAGTTTGTCAGCTCTGTGCTGCCATAGGGCCAAATGTCTGCCTACATTAATGCAAGATCTGCTCCTGAAATCTGATGTGTTATACCTATCTGTAAATGCTTGCAACTTAAAAGTCCAATTTTCCACTTATGGTTAACACATGGTATAAATTAAAACAATGAAAGTTATGCAAGGAGTCATTTAATAATCAGCGGTCACAGAATCCATTCACAGAGTCAGAGCTTTATTTGATATTGTTGACACTGGACCAATAACTGCAATAATTTTTTTTTTTTTTTAAACAGCTTACTGTACCTAATACAAAAAAATAAATATTTTCAATATAAATTCTTTTTTTGTTTTATATTGAATGTATATTTTGATCAATAAAATAAATATTTTTTAAACAGTAAAAACAGTGTATACTACTTCAAGCTAAAAAAATATATACATTCAATATAAAACAAAAAAAGAATTTATATTGAAATATAAATTTTTCAGTTTTCAGTACAAAAAAACTTTTAGAAAAAAAAATCTACTGAAACAGCTTTGTGATGGTCTTGCCATCAACTTCTGCCAGAAGGTCCAGAGTTCCGTCTTTTAATGAGTCCTCATAGGGCTCAAAGAGTTTGCCAGCGATGTCCAAGATGCTTCCATCTTCCAGAAGAATCTCAGTTATTTCAGGTGCAGAGTCTTTTTCCATCGCTCCCAGAATCTGGATTCTGGTCACAACAGCTTTCTGTTTCTGTGAAAATAACAAAACATGAAGTTAGAGCAAATCATCAGCTTAAAAAAAACATATTTATTTCAAAGGTCTCTGGAAATACATTTGAAATTGTCAGTCTAATGTTAAGTAACCTTGTTTCAGAACATATGTATTTGCCATATCAGTTTTCTTGTTTTTTTGCATAAAACATGGCCACTAACCATAAATATGAAGATGGAAGAATGACGAATATTCTTATATAGTTTGTAACAAAAACGTGGAACGAAATATTCTAATTACATGAAAGTAATTGCAAAATGTTCTTTTAGAAAGAAGTTAAAATCTTGCATGTCCTTAATTACATTTTAAACACTCATTTAATTTCATCATTTATTGACCTGTCATATAAACCTCACAATGAACACGGTTCTGGCATTTTCTTCTTTTCTTCTTCTCCAGAATATTGCCAAAATGAGAAAGAGCTTTTCCAGGGGTGATGCTAAGAAACTAATCAAAGGTTGTTTTTTTTTTTTACTGCTGGATTTTTGCAATTCTTTTCTATCAAATCAGGAGGTTCACACACTGTACTTAAAAGCCTTCAGCTGACCCAAATGCTACAGCCAGAGTTCTGAACAAAATTAAAAACAGAGATCTTTTTTTTTTTTCTTTTCATCCTTGCTTCTCTGCATTGGTTTCCTGTTAAATCCAGAATAGAAATGAAAATGCTTCCTAAGTGACCAAGCTCCATCTTACATTGGAGATCTGATTGTTCCTTATGTTCCTAACAGAGCACTTCGCTCTCAATCTGCAGGTTTACTAGTGGTTCCTAGAATTTCTAAAAGTAGAATGGGAGGCTACTTATAAAG